TCTCTCTCTCTCTCTCTCCTCTCTCTCTCTCTCTCTCTCTCTCTCTCTCTCTCTCTCTCTCTCTCTCTCTCTCTCTCTCTCTCTCTCTCTCTCTTCTCTCTCTCTCTCTCTCTCTCTCTCTCTCTCGCTCTCTCTCTTTCTCTCTCTTTCTCTCTCTCTCTCCGTCTCCCCACTCTCTCTCTCTCTATATATATCGCTATAATATCTGTATACGTGCTTCAAACTCAAAATAGTCTCACTTGTTCGTCGTTTACTTGCAGGTATTGTGATATGCAACTGGGTAGTTTTGATCAGTGTGCTGGTTACTCTGTGGTGCACGTTCGACGCGGCCGGCCGTAGCTGGGTAAAGATGCAGCGCTACCAGCAGAGCTTGCGAAACAGCAAGACCAAGTACAAACGCTCAGGAAATCGCCGACGTAACTGGAGAAACAGGTGCAGAAAAAAAGTAGATGTGTTTGTGATAGTATACGTATATGCGTATCTACGTATTCAGTCTATTGCGTCGTGACTTACGTATACGTGTCCTTGTGGCGTGACGCGTCCTGTGTGTGCGTGTCTCCGTGACGTCATGTAGACACGGCATGTGTATATGTGTCTGTGTGTCGTCATGACGTGACGTCCTGTGTATGCGTGTATCTGTGACGTCATGTAGACATGTCATGATTGAACTGTCCATGCTCCGCCATTACAATTTGTCAGGCCGCGCGCATTTCAGAGTTCAGTCGGATTGGAATTGGATTGGAAGGAAACGGCACGATTTGCGCAATCGCCTGAACCGATAAATGTAGGCGATTGTGACTTTAATGACTTGCGGAAACGACGTTTCTTTTCTATACCGTTTCCTCTTTTTTTCCGAATGCAGCCCAACATTTGCCCTTCTATGGCTTTTAAAATGTTTCCCCGGCGGCCATTATTCCAAAGCAAATTGCGATAGTCTGCGGGCCGTGTCTCTACTTTCATGCTTCACTAGAGGTCGCTGCACTCGAATACGCACGATTATAAGAGCAGCGCAACCGGAGCGTATAGTTCCCGGACAGAGTATAGCATTTCCTTTTGAGGATTATTATGACCTTCATTAAAACTCGTTCGTGAACCTTTGAGCCACAATTTATGAGCTGCTAGTTAAACGTTATTACATTATTAATATTAATGAATTATTCTACATTATTAACTATTACTCGCCTGTGCAGCACTTTCTACACGTCACTCGGTTAAATGCAACTGAAATGTCGTTCTTCCCTGATGTTTACGTCTGCAGTTCTGATTTCTAACACTATCCTGCTTTCTTACTGGTTAATGTTGAAAGTTTATCATTGGCCCCTAAGCTAATATTGCAAATCCTGCGTTTAATGTTGGTTATTGGTAACATGCACTTAATTCTTCTGATAATAACACTTCGATTATTTAACGAAAAGTTTTAATAAACGATGACAAACAGGTTGATCGGAAGAAGGGGTTAAAAATTAAACCTCACATTATATAAAATATAATAAAATTCGCTCATACTCTAACTGATAGTCTCCGCTTCGCGTTCGTGTCATTATTGTCAGCACTCCCCACTGCCTCTCAGTTCACATCAGCCTATCACGCGCGAATCCTCTTGAGTATTCGTTGTCACGTTCACTGAGGAGCTCTGTGAAGTAGCTGCCCGCGGTGTCCGTGCGTGATCACGAGATAATGACATTAAGAGGTGCGGAAAATGAGCCTTTAAGTTGGTCGTTCATTTATTGATGTGCTCAGACTGCATGCAGCGGTTACAAGGCGCAGGTGCGTTCGTTTCGTTGTTCGTGCATATCAAATCGAAATCCATTTAAAATCGTCTCAGTGTTCTGATAACTGTGTTCTCGTGTCGTTCTTCGAGAGTACATCTCTTTTCTAGATTTTGTAGATATATTTCGTTATTCGCCGTTAAAAAAAACTACTCTAAATTTCAAAATCTCTTCAAGCTCAAAACGCCCGGAACTGTCGATCGAAATGTGTGTGTGCGTGTGTAAATAGCGTGCTGGTCTAATGTGTCAATATATTCGTGCTCCCAAGTTTAATCTACACTCGTCGGCTGGTTTTTATCGAAAGACCATTAACGTTAGTCGATTACAATATATTTCGTTCGACTACGTGCCGTAATGGATTCTTGCCGGTCTATTAACCGATATATTCGTCCTTGTCTGCTTGGCTGTTAATTTAAATCACTGTCGCTTAATCGATCAGTGCTCACGCGGCAACGCGCGTTCTTATATTGCATATATATCTCTACGTCCGTTCGTCGATGTCAAGTGAAGTGTATGAAAACTGTCGAAAATTTCGAGATTCGAGTATTAAATTGCTCGTTATATTACTCACACACGCGCGCGCGCCGAGAACGTTTCAATCTAGATCTTCTTCTCCTGCGAGTAATCTCAAAATGTAATTTCGATTCGCACGGGCCGGCGCCCCGTTATGGTGGCTGCACCGGTGTTTCGCTGTGCTGACACGTGTACGCGTATAGTAGTGTATGCATATAGTAGTGTATGCGTATCGTAGTGTATGTGTATAGTAGTGTATGCATAAAGGAGCGTATGCGTATAGTAGTGTATGCGTATAGTAGTGTATACGTATAGTAGTGTATACGTTTAGTTGTGCATACGTATAGCAGTGTATACGTATATAGTTGCGTGCGTTGTTGAGCGTGTTCGCTGACGTCGCGCCTGCCTATAGCTCGCACAGCGGCGACGTGACCCGCATCTGCCATGCGGCGGACCAGCCGACTCGTGCGAGAGCTCAGACAATCGTGCCGCATAGCAACGGGGACGCTGCGTGACACAGATCTGCACCTGTATCGCAGTTGCGTGAGCGATGTTGGTTTCAGTTCTGATGTCGCGTAGGGCTGCTGGGTACCTATCTGCTGTCGGGTAGAGATGCTGGGTTCCTATCTGCTGTCGGGTAGGGATGCTGGGTTCCTATCTGCTGTCGCGTAGGGATGCTGGGTTCCTATCTGCTGTCGGGTAGGGATGCTGGGTTCCTATCTGCTGTCGGGTAGGGATGCTGGGGTTCTATCTGCTGTCGGGTAGGGATGCTGGGTTTCTATCTGCTGTCGGATAGGGATGCTGGGTTTCTATCTGCTGTCGGGTAGGGATGCTGGGTTTCTATCTGCTGTCGGGTAGGGATGCTGGGTTTCTATGTGCTGTCGCGTAGGGATGCTGGGTACTTAGCTGTTGTCGCGTAGGGATGCTGGGTTCCTATCTGCTGTCTCGTAGGAATGATGGGTTCCTATCTGCTGTCGCGTAGGGATGCTGGGTTCCTATCTGCTGTCTGGTAGGGATGCTGGGTTTCTTGTCGTTGCTAGGTAGGGATGCTGGGTTTCTATCTGCCGTTGCGTAGGGATGATGGGTTCCTATCAGCTGTCTCGTAGGGATGCTGGGTTGCTATCTGCTGTCGCGTAGGGATGCTGGGTTCCTATCTGCTGTCTCGTAGAGATGATGGGTTCCTTGTCGTTGCTAGATAGGGATGCTGGGTTTCTATCTGCTGTCTTGTAGGGATGCTGGGTTCCTATCTGCTGTCGCATAGGGATGCTGGGTTGCTATCTGCTGTCGGGTAGGGATGCTGAGTTCCTTGTCGTTGCTAGGTAGGGATGCTGGGTTCCTATCTGCTGTCTTGTAGGGATGCTGGGTTCCTATCTGCTGTCGCGTAGGGATGCTGGGTTCCTGTCTGCTGTTGCGTAGGGATGCTGTGTTCCTATCTGCTGTCGGGTAGGGATGCTGCATGGGTTCCTTGTCGTTGCTAGGTAGGGATACTGGGATCCTATCTGCTGTCGGGTAGGGATGCTGGGTTCTTATCTGCTGACGCGTAGAGATGCTGGGTTCCTATCCGCTGTCGCGTAGGGATGCTGGGTTCCTATCTGCTGTCTTGTAGAGATGCTGCATGGGTTCCTTGTCGTTGCTAGGTAGGGATACTGGGATCCTATCTGCTGTCGGGTAGGGATGCTGGGTTCTTATCTGCTGACGCGTAGAGATGCTGGGTTCCTATCCGCTGTCGCGTAGGGATGCTGGGTTTTCTTACTGACACGCAGGGATACTGGCTTCCATGCTACTGTAGCATATGGATGCTGGCTTCATCTATGTGCTACAGCTCACGTATACTCACTGTCGTTTCAGTCAACAGGAAACCCATCGACCAATTGTTTTCGCTTTGCCTGTGTCGCGGCCTATATTATCTTGGCATTCATGATTCAGTGCGCATGTTGTTGTTTTTCTATTTTGTAGGTTACGTATGTCTGAGCCCGTGTACGCGACTTGCGAACGAAGGTACTGCAATGGTGGCAAGTCCAGGCAGTTGTTTTTTAACAAGAGTGTCAGCACCCGTTTGCGATGTTTCCTCCTCGCTTGTACTAATTAGTAGCAAGTATATCTTCACCCGACGTGAGAGCGACTGCTATCTGTACACGCACTGTCGACACGAGTTCCCACTGTTCGTAAAGTTTCTTCTAAACGCCACCAGGATGCGCGCACCTCGCGTGGGTGTCGCGACGCAACAGCGCAACAGTGTATTTACGCCTCCTGGTGGCGTTTCTGTCAAGCTTTACAAAGCCGTAGAACTCGTAGCCAGTACTACTACTACTATCGTTGTATGAGGAGAAACAGTCAACTTCTCGTTAGCAGCTAAGCGAGCATGTTACCTGCAGTGACACGCGTATACGCTTAACATGTGTGCAGTATTGCGTAGCCTTATGTAGAATACACACACGCACCAATGGCTGCAAAACACCGCGCGTTCGCCCGTGTTGTTTGCAGTGTATCACACACCGTTCACTAATATATATATATATATA